GATCCTCATTTCAGTTTCTGAGCCTCCAGCTGAATATGTTTACATTTAATTGTCCTGGTTAGGAGTTACTGTTCCTTCATATTTGTTTCTGCCACTCACATGCTGACTTCATATGGCACATAAACGGTGCTCCAAAACTGCCTTATGATTTTTGGTCATATTACTGTACAATATTTTAGCAACATAGGAATACTCCATATTTGCAGAGGTCAAAATGTTGTTTAGGTACATTTCACAACAAAAGTCTTAAAGGATGTTGATAAGGTTGAGTATGTCCGCATTCTTCTGTCAAACTCCTTTGTGTGAAAAACAATTTGTAAGATTATGAAATCAAAAGCTAATTTTATGGGTAATATCACCTTGGTCTTCCTTGCACACATTTGTAAGGTGGTTGGCAAATTCACTTCAACAGGGCAAAGGAATTGATTTTTCTCCTTAGGTTAGAAGTTGACTGATTTTTCCCAACATATCATTGTGGTTGTCTGTTCCTATTCTCATATATTTTCATAAGATATAAGCCCATCTTTTAGAAAGATAAGTGAATTTTCAGAAACAGCTTAGACAACCACTCCCCTCATCCCTGCTCACATAGTCAGCAAATCCAAAATGTAGAAAGCATTAGAAATTAAGCTGGTGAAGAAATTTCTCACTTCTTCATCTTCACCAGATCTTCTATGTAATGGGGCTGCTAGATACTGCTAATTTATCAAGTAGAATTTGCATTATAGATTTGTTTTTTTCTTTTGTGTCATTATTTATTTTTCTGTACGGTATATCAAAAAGCATTACGCCACACATAAGTCAATAAGATGAGAGTGACAGTGGTTCAAGGAGAACACAGTTGAGAGCATTTCATTGTTTGCTCAGAGTGCAGAACTCTATCTTAGAACATTCCTGGGATGAAATGGAATAAAGAAATAACTATATCTTCTTTGACTTCACTGAAACCCATACTGTCAGAGGGTTTGGACAATATTGCTCTATCCTTTAAAAATTGAATGGCAATGGAATATATCCCTTACAGAATTAAGCTGAAGTTCTAATGGTTATCATTTTGCAAATACTGTAAAACGTTTCACTTTACTTATGCTGTATAAACAGGATGTACAGTATATGCAGTGCAATGTCGTTTACCTTAAAATGTAATGTTCCGGAATATACAAATTAATAATGTCCACAATTTGGGTTATGAAAGATACATCATATTGCATTGATGACATCAATTCAACATAAGGCATAAGCAGAATTAAAAAAAAAACTCTCCCAAAATTCAACCAAAGTATAGCAAAATATCAATAGTGAATGGATAGCTTTGTCTTCATTTAAATGAACAAGCAACAAACATTGTTTTTCTGGGAGGCTCCTATAAATGTTGTCAGTTGTTTTCATACTATCTCAGAGCCTGATCATCACATTTGTTTCTGGTTTTCATTCTATATCAGAACTTAATGACTTCATTGAACTATTTATTTTGACAGGAAGTCAAAACAGCTGTGTTTTCCAGATCATAATTATGTGTGAATTGAAAGGTGTCTCAGAAATCTGTACCAATCTGGTTTTCTAGGACTGGAAATGCCTGGTCCCATTTTATTGGACTGAGCTTAGAACTCTAAATAGATCATGACCATCTGGGCGCCTACGAAATATTAACGAAATTAGCGATGGGTGATATGTCATATGTGTGCATAGTTATAAGAATTAGTGCATGTCTGAGAAGACTGGGAAGACAAGGAACACTTTAGAAATGTGTAATGGATTGGAACATCATAGCAGCTGCTTAACGTATAGGAGCAAAGATATCATTCAATTGATACCAGGCTTTTTAAATCTATCCAAAAGTTCTAAAAGTAGCCATATAAATACTTAGCTCACTGAACAAACAAGTTCCTGTGCTTTACAGTAATATGTGATCAACTACTCTCCTCTGCTGGTGATACTGGTGTACTGCACAAAAAATATTTAATAAAAATATCAAGATGTTGAGCTCCTGTACATGGACACAATACTGTCTGGATTAGAAGAAAAAAAACATAAAATAAAAAAGTTGAGGAGAAAACAAGACAAATAGAACAAGATTACCAATTAAATGTTCAGAAAATATAAAGACAAATCACAATTAACAATTAATAACCTTTTTGGTTTACTACATCACTATTCATCTCCTCAATGGATATCCTTAATAAGGGTTTTCACATGGCCACATTGGCTCCACAATTAAAAAAATAGTCCCACTAGTAACATTAATCACACAACACACTGCAGTTCGAAAACTGCATGGGGGCATTGAATGACCAAGAAGTCAGGATCTCAATTGAATATTTAATCTGAATGACAGAACAGTTATTGGAGTCTGAGAAAATATTCTTATTTAAATAATATTATTTCTCTTATTGGAGAAAATAAGGCTAAACAAAACACACATTCACATAAAGTGAATCTATGAAACTGGAATAGTTATTTCACATGTATACAGGTGAAAATTGTTAATAGCTGCTCAGAGAGAGGATGGTGGAAAATCCTGATGAAGACTGGCAGTCAACCTCATTTTTGCTGAAACAAAGAAAGCCTGTGGCCATACATTAGGCTGCATAGATTATGTTTCAAGCATGAGTGTCCATATTATAGATGACTAGATTCTTTTAGATAAGGTTTTAGATAAGAGTAGTTCCTGATCACTTCAGAATCCTATGAGATTGATAAAAACAATAGAAAGAAGCAAAAATTAAGGTGATCTGAATTATTTTAAATGTAAATGTATTTTTGAATTGAAACTTCAAACCATAACATAATATTTGACATAATATGTTCATAACAATAAACTGTTAAATCTGTCACGCATCTGTGGTGTGTTTAAGATCTTAAGAGCATTGCATGCTCTGGATTTTGTCTACAGTATAAAGGTACCACTGAGATGGAAGTGTCCAGCAGTAGGCATATCATACCTGAAAGGTTTAATATGATTTATAAATAACTAAATGTAAAACATCTAAGATGATCACAGTACTCATTAAAATGGCTGCTTTCCTAGTTCAGAATATTTTCAAAATTCCATAGGAATTTGCTTTAACACAGATAAATATTATTCTAAAGATAGCCATGTACAGTAATATCTTACCAACAATATTTACACATGCACCATCCTGACTTCACTCTTTTAATCAACTTTCAGTTACAAGGTTGTTTTTGATATTTAATAGGTCATTTGTTAATGCTTGGTCATCCTATCAAGTATAATTAAAATCAGTAAAAGGGTATCCGTTGTTCTATGGACTACTGTGTGCTGTTCATGTGAGGGGTTCCAGCAGTGTATTGTCTGTGCCAAATGTCCTGCTTCAAAATCAATACTGCCTGACCCAATCTTTTAAATAATTTATTACTTTCTAAGACTGAAAACACTATTCTTCTTTCCTCCTAACTGTAGCTAAAGTTTACTGTTCAAGTGAATATTAAAGAATAGCTAGTACTAAGCAGAGGACAACTCTTCCCAGTGTTTTACACTGACAGAAATTGTTCTAATAACGAAAATTATGTTTTATTAATCGTATCTGTTGGCACCTTGGGGCCAATTAAACTCAAAGCCCTCGCTAGAGCAATAGTCTAAATGATTTAAACCTTCATCTTAACCTTTAATCTAGACGTCTTTCATATTGTTAGCATGAATATATGTTTTAAAATGCATAGGGTGCTGTCACATTCAGGCCTGCGAGTCTATGAGTCCACTAATTGGACTAGGGAGAAGGTAAAAGAGAGAATTTTAATGTATTTATGGAAAATTAGATTTAAAATGTCAATGCAAAGAAAGGAAAAATAGCTGTTACATAGCTTGAAGCAAAATTAATTCTTCCCACTGTTTTTTTTTTAAAAGATATTTTTAAATGGTGATTATTTCCTTTATTGTGGGATACTGCTTCTCAGTGTAGAATAATTTCATTTTATTCACAAATGAAAAAAGCCTAAATTATTCTTAAATTGCTTCAAAGTTCTTTTTGCATTTGACAGTGCAATTCATTTTCTTATAAAATCCTCGTTCTAAATAACGTTTTACTTAATGTATTCACATTGCATGCAAATTGCTAGAAAACTGTTTTTTATGTCTATAGATTAGTAACATCAAAGAACCACAGAGTCTGCTGGAAGAGATAAGGAAACAAACTTCAGGGGACCTGTCACCTGTTGATATGATTTCATATGTGGAGGTCTTATCGCGATCAGTTCCATCATTAAGTGTTATGAACGACACTGTAATTGACAAGGAGGCACTTACTAATGCTACTATCAAAGTAAGTTATGACCATTCTTTATTCCTGGGTTCTGTTATGAATATATATATATTTATCATCAACACCTCAGTATGTAAAATTGGAATACCTGTGGATACACATTAGCCCATGTCTGAGCATGCCCATTTACATGAAAATATGTGTCAGGTGATGATTCCTTGACATATGATATACTGTATGTTTGATAAAAAAAATCATTAACCACAGTGCTACAGTGTATAGCTGTTGTTTGTTTAAACTCAGTCAAATCAAATGGACTTTCGTATTACTGTTTAAGATGTAAGTGAAATTAAAATGCAAAAATATGATATAAACCATTAAATGTTTAATTTCTAGAAAAAGACTCTAACCCTCAATATTTATTGATCATATTTCAAGTCAGTGGAGCATGTGGAAGTAGTCATAAGGTTGCTGCCACAAAAAAGGAAAAGCAAAGAGACATGAATCTAATAGTATAACTTCAGATTAAGGGTATCAAATTGAATTAATAATCATTTAACAAATTGAATATACTTCCAAAGTTAATAATTCATAGATTATTTCTGAACATTATTAATGGTGATCAAAACTAAGGAACCATTTAGCTTTGCTCATTTTCCATGGAAAGAAAAAAAAATATTGGGTTAGTTTCTTCCAAAAAGTATTATTACTCTGCAAATTCTAAACATTTTCCAGTTTGTAAGTACAAGACTTCCTCTAGTGAGTTTGTGATTAACCTTTAACCTTCCTTGAGGTTACATATCAGTCAGGACATGTTAAGTCTTTTGTCTTTGTTTGTCAGGTAATTTTAAATGTACTGTTTGCTCTATTTTGGCCTGAAAAAATGTTGATAAGGCAAAGTAGCACCTTTGTCATTGCATTTCTAATCAGGCAATGCATCAAAGGTGGATGTCCCAGTTTTTTTTTTAAATGTTTTAATATAAGAAGCAGGCATTGAAGATTTGCGGTATTTAAGGAATTGACAAAAGGTAAAAGCTAAAGTAAAATCTGGACAATATAATCACACTACTTTTATCTTAGATATTAGATAATTTATACTTTATTTTATATTTCTATGTACAATAAGCTAAATGTAACACTGAAATAATTTAAATTAAACCAATATGTAAAATATAAGCAAAATGTAATAAAATATAATTACAATTTCCATACAGTCAAGTTTTACAAATTAGATTTACCAATGCTGTTTACTCAAGGAAACTTCAGAAAGCTGTTAAGCATAGTTCAATTTAATTGTTTTTACACTGCTCCTTTAAATTAGCTTTTTTTGTTGTGATTTGCATCCAGTTTGGAAGATAAATGCCATCTGTGTAATAGTCTATTTGCCCTACCTGGAATTTAAGTGAATTTTAGTGATAATTAGATCTATATCTAATAGCCTGTTTTAAAATGCTTTTAAAAAGATATATATTTTTACAGGGAACAAAACATTTTCTGAGCTTCAACTAGAAGATGTAAGCAACATAAAGAAAAAAAATCCTGCTAATTTAAGCAACAGAGTATTAGACAGCTGATTGCTCATTTAAGACAGTTGACAACAAACTAGTGTTACCAAACTAATAGTGAATGGGCTCAAGCTCATAAAATACAGGATTTTTGGTAAGGGTACATTTTCCATTTTATACCAAGAACCATTTATTGTACATACAAGTCAACATCCAAAGATAATGGGTATAAACTGAAAATATATCTTAATGTTTTTACAGGATTTTGTAAATACAGTAAACAATCTCGTTGAAAGGGATGAATTAGTGGCATGGAACAGGATCAATACAGAAGACAGAAAAAAGACTGTTACAAAACTGCTGCATACTGTGGAAGAAGCAACCCTGAATATTTCTCAAAATTTCAAAAAAGCAACCGAGATGGAAGTCAATGCAAGTGACATTGGTAAGAAAACTAGATAAGAAGCTTTTCAGCTGTCAGAAAAACTTTAAATAATAGAGGAACTTGAAAAACAAAAAAACTCAAAATATTTTCTCCAGGGGTATATCCAAAAGTCGAGTATTTTGGTCTGGTTATATTAAAAGTAAAGCAGTAACCTTTGACGATGTTTGAACTCCTTTCTCTGTTACATACTATTTTTGTTGCTATTAAATAAAAATGAATGTTTCAGGAAATTTTGTTATTCTAATACCTGCCTCACACAATAAAGCTTAGATTTTGATTGTGTTTTCCAAATAAAAAAACTAAATAAGAGGAAAAAGTAATGGAGCAAAAATAATTCCTTATATATGTGCACCAGTATCTTGCAAAGCATATGAGAAAAAAATAGAAAATAACAATTTTCCATTAAATATTAACTCAAAATTTACTAAAATCATAACTAAATTACAGTGGACTCTGCTGAAATATTAATAAATTCTAAATTAAATATACTATCTACAGTCCTATTATCAAGTTTAAGGAAATTTATATTTGATCTACACCTCCAATTAATTGTTGCGGTGCAGACATGAATAGATTTTTTTTTAAATACAACTTTAAAATATTTTTATTTCCCTCCATTTCTGAAGCTACCATTTACAGTAGTAATCACAGAAGGAATGAGGACACATGTATCCTTTCTTCAGAAATGGGCATTGCCAAGTCACCTGCTTTTTTCTTGGTATTATCAACTCAGAACAGAGAGAGTGCTTAAGAACTGATAAGAGTGCAAGTTCACTGAGATCCTGAGACCCACACAGGACAGCAAGCTCATGACACTAACTACAGTACCTCAGATCCTCCTAACTACAAAGCTTTTAGCCAGTTCTGCACTTCTTTCACTGAGACTGAGCAAATTTAGACATAGCAAATTTGGAATATCCAACCAAATAGATGCTATACTATTTCTGATAAGTTTTATTTTTTTAAGAAAATGGTGTGGTGTGACACATTTCTATGTCCAATTGCAAATATTTGAATATTCTAGTCAGACAGCATTCTAGTCAGACAGCACAGTGGCATGGCAGTTAGCTACGCTACATCACAGCTCTTGGATGTTGTGTTAGATTCTGAACTAGAATGGAACATTTGTATAAAGTTTGCATATTCTGCCTAACCTGGCTATATTAACAAAAGTTTCTAAACTTTCTGTGTGTCTCTTTTCCAGGGTGTAGTAGTTCACCTTTGTAGAGTGGAAGGCTGCCATGACCCAAGTAGTTTTCTGGTCACAGAAATAAAAAATACAAGTACAGAAATACAAAATAGTCAAATCATTTTTAACTGTTATGTTAATTTCAGGATCTTTTAATGTTCACTAGCCATGATAGCATTACTAATTCAACGTAAGCATCTAATCACCATCCTTTCATTCCAACTAAAAATTGTCAGCAAAAAAGACGTACAGCTATGTATATAAGGAAAATATTTTTGTGATCACTGTAGATTGCTGTCATGAATTTCTATTCAATCAATTTGATTTATCAAATATATATGGTCTTTACAGATTTCTCCTTTGTTTCCACAAACAAATATGTGGTCCTAAATCAAAATCTAATGGACTAGTATTTTTCCTCATGGACCAATTATGAGGGTGCATAAGCTTCTACTGTTTGAGGAGGACTACTTCCATTCCATAATAAATAATAGCTGTTTTCTTTCACTACAAATAATATTCATTCTAGAATTCTCCAGAACCATACTCTCAAATACATGCTGCATGATCTTTTAAACTAATTTTAGGGTAAAATTGTGTTTGATAAAGAAAACTACATAAAAAGTTCCACAATAAACATTTGCAAAAAAGACAATTATTATTCATTACATTTAAAGAAGTTATCAGTTAGTCAAAATCCAACTTTTTTCTCAAAATTGCAAAAAGAGTTGCATGTCAGAAATTTACCTCAGACTCATCTTAATGCAATACATGTCTGTTTCTCAGCTGGGGATGTATGTCAGTGAGGTTCAACCTAGTCTTCAAGATTCAGCCTTGCACATTTCGATATTTTGATAGCTGCCAGTGCTGAAAATCCAACTTCACAAGGATATGTTGTTGCAAAATGAAGGACTATAGTGGTTCATCCGAAAGTGCTGGATATTCAGTTTGGACAGATTCCCAGATTTCTTCTAAGTGAAAAGAGCTGAAATGGAGCTGCAGTGCTTTTGCTTTGTCACAGGAAAGGTCAGTTAGGACCCCATGTTGATATACAGTGAGGTGGCTTTGTGTCTCTACTGGAACAGCAAAAGAATTCCAAACTTTGTAATGTTCAGAGAAGTGTTCTGTCTGGAGGTTTGGAAAATAAGGAAAGAGCTTTCCTTTTTTAAGATGCTGGAGAACAGTCTTTATTGATGGTGAATAGTAAGAGCACTAACATTAGATTTTATTCAGTTTTCACATGCTCTAACTGTGTGAATGTTGCTAGGTTATAGACCGATAAAACATGTTCATCATATTTTAATAATAATAACTTGACATAACATACGGTACTGCAACATTCCTGCTTGTAGTTTTAGTTCTATACAATATACAAAATTACATGGTTATTTATATATATAATATATATATATGATTGTTATTAACTGGTTTTCTTTACAATTGCTGTGAACTTAATTGTGCATATAGGCAACATGAGACTACAGTAGGTCTGTTTATTGTTGGACCTTGGCCCAGCAAAAAGTTTTTGCATGGAGTGTAGATAGAAGAGCTCTACAAATGAAGAAACAAAATACACAATTAGATAAAAGATCATGACTAAGAACTACAGTATGTACTGCATAGTCATGTGTATATTGAGAATAGCCCTGTGTGTAAGCTTTAGTATTGTGATAATGGATTGCATTGTTCCCTTGCACCATTTTTTGAGTCAAGTTTATTTCTGCACTATTACTAATGAGACTAAGGTCTCATTTGTTGCAAAACTGTGACTGTCATTTCTAACAGGTTTTTGATGGAACTACATGGTTGATGATCAAGCATACTTGATATGTACAGATGATGATACATCCCCTGATTTATGTTTAATTATGGAGATTTAATTATAGTGGTTTAATTGTGTAATTATGGTGATTCTTGAAATACTGGATTTCAATTTAAATAAAAGTTTACACTGCTCTAAATTACATTTTGTTTTAATTTTGTTTACAGCCCTTAAACTGTACATCTTTGATACCCAACAAATAAAAAGTAATGTTAGTGCAAATGTTAACATAGAAGGGGATTTCATTGCACTTACCCAAAAGTATGATAAAGACATTGATACGAATGGTAAGTTTATCCAAATTATTTGACATAAGTTAACAAAATAATTGTCAGAAATAAGTTGAGAAAGTACATATGCTGGTGTAAATAAAATTGCAATATGATCATTTAAATGATAATTTAAATAAATTATATCAGTAAAAATAATAAAATAATTAAGGAAATCTATGTATTTTCAAAGCTTTAGAAGTAGGTTGACAATTATTTATTTCTTCCGCATGCTGTTGGTATGAGTTTCTTTTGTTTCATGTTATTCTTGCTAAAAGGTTTTTATATTGATTACACAAAGGCAAGCAGTATATAACTGGGATTTATTTTCTTTTATTAGGCAGTGTTTCTATTGTTTTTCTCCGGTACAACAGTATTCGTGTTCTTCTGGAAACAAATAACGTTCTGGTGGAAACAGACAACTCCCAGGCAATAGAAACATCAGATTTTACTGTGAACTCTCAAGTCGTGGCAGCAGCCATCAAAGCACACCCACCACAAACCTACCAGCTTGACCAAGTTACATTTATACTTAAACATATTGAGGTAAAGTTCCTGTATGTTGTTGAGCAATTCTTATACTTCAAGTATAATGCAAGGAAAGGCATATGTATTCCATAATACTTTGACATAAAACATTTTCAAAAGTTTGCATATGAATATCAGCTAGCAATTTCAACTTTGTCCTATACATATACTGTATATATTGTGGTGTCTCCAGGGGAAACGTTTATGTAAATGAGATAAAATTACTCACACCACACTTTTCTTTATCTTCGCGGAGTTTCTTCCGTTCGAGAATCTTCCAAATCCAGTCCATAATTTGTTCTCTTAATCCTGATCCTATCTGAGTTCCAAAGTCCGTAAAATAACACCAGTCCGCGCCGTATCCAATCCACAATCCACAGTCTGAAAACCGTAATCCATATCTCCTTTTAACAGTCCTTTATTCTTTAATCCGATTTTTAACACAATCCTAATTCCTCTCTCTCCTCCAAACCACATTCACTTTATCGACTTCCATGCTGGTTCACTGGGCATTTATATTTTGGTTCCTGATGAGGCTCAGCTGTGTCTGGTTGTTCTTCTGGATAGACCTTTTCCATATGCGGATCTTCTTGGTAGCCATTTCGCTCAGGTTTATGTCGAGTATATTAAGCATGTCATTCCGAAAATAGCGGTTTTGAATGACCCTTCCCTGGTCATTTTACATTCCCTCCCCCTGAGATCAGCCCCGTCCTTGGGCTGTCTAGAAAAAAATAAACAATACATTCGGGAGAGGGCATCTTGTTTCTTTCCGGGTCTATACACTGTTCCGAACTGAAACCTTTGAAGACTAATGGGTCTATCGGGTGATTCGATCGTTTTTGTCCATATTTTTCAACATCCAGGTTAACAGCGCAAGATCCGTATACAATACAAACTGTCTTCCCAATAAATAATATCTTAAATAGTCGAGGGCCCATTTTATGGCGAGACATTCTTTTTCTATCATGGAATAATGTTTCTCCGCAGGGTTTAACTTACAGCTAATATATATAATAGGGTGCTCCAGCTCATTAATTTCTTGTGACAGTATGGCTCCAACCCCAGAGTCGGAAGCATCCATTTGTACCATGAATGTCTTGTTAAAGTCAAGCACCTGTAAGACCGGTTGAGAAGATAAAATTGCTTTTAAGTCCTGGTGGCCATTTTGCTCAGGTCTATGTCAAGTATATTAAGCATGTCACTCCAAAAATAGCTGTTATGAAGGACCCTTCCCCTGGTCATCTTACAATATATATAGCATATAGTTAACACAACAGCTGGTATATACTGTACTGTAGAATTAGGAACATATTAATGAAGCATTATTTATTTTTTACAGTGACATATCCAGTATTTTTGTTTAGTCAGTTTTTGTTTTCATGGGACATGAAGTATGATTGTATGGTTTTTCTCTAAAGATTGCTTCCACTAGCAGATATTTTATGATGATTATCTTTTATAGCCTATTAATCCAGACACTGTCACAAAATGTGCTTTTTGGAAGTACTCTCCAGTGAATATGAAAGGACTTTGGTCCACAGAGGGCTGTGAACGTAATCATGGCAATGTTACTCATACTGGATGCCGGTGTGATCATCTGACTCATTTTGCTATTCTAATGTCTTCTGGACGAACTAATGTAAGTACAAGTTATTCCGTTTTTTTATATAAAATCTGATCACTACTGGTATAATATGGATCACTATATGGATTACTGGCTTTCATTATATGGTAATTTGTTATTAATACATCATCTTTTAAGTACTGATTTTATGGTATGAAAGGTAAATTTGATCAACACAAATCTTTATTTTTTTCTTTAACTCAATTCAATTGTGTTTTAGAGAGACATGTTTTAGTGAATGAAATGTTGCATGAAATCACATGATCTGTATCCAGTTAGTTCTCAATGTTCTGACATAAAGTTGAAATTTAATTTAAATGCTTCTCCAAATTTAAGAAGTGTTGTTTATATAGATTTCATTTAAAATATCCTCAGACAGATTTCCAGCATAGTTCACTGGTAGATTGTACGGCACTGAATTGTTATCAAGAAAAATATTTTTTCAGCATTGTTTAAAAAGCAGGAATGTATTAAATTACCAGCCTAGAAAATGTAAGAACACTGAGATCTGCACATCATTTCTGTTATACATTGACCATTATTTTGCTCATTGACTAATCTGATTAATTTAACTGATCCCTAATTATTATTATTTTGACTTATATTTTAATAGCTGTTGGCCCACTCTAATATCCTTAAAAGAATCACACAGCTGGGAATAATAATATCACTGGTCTGCCTGTCCATGTGCATTTTTACCTTTTGGTTCTTCAGTGAAATACAGAGCACCAGGACCACAATTCATAAAAATCTCTGCTGCAGTCTCTTCATGGCAGAATTCATCTTTCTAATAGGAATTAATATGAACACCAACAAAGTAAGTACTTGAGTGCTGTCAAATGCCTTACTTCCATCCACTTTTCAAAACAACCCTGACCTGCACTGCTATAGTCAGAAATTGTATTTTTCTTTAAGCGGTGTTATTGCCAGGTGGCAGTTCAGGAGTAGTCTTTTAAGCGCTTCAGTCAAATTTCAAATAAACAAAAAATTTCAAGAACATTGGGCACTATATTAGAAATGTAATTCAGTACCAGTTTTCAAGTCGATATAGTCCGAGGCTTGAGAACTCATTTTTTTATTAGTAAATCTACTGAGTCATTATTTATTTTCATTATTTAGCATCTCAAGCACTGCTAATGAAAGCTACATATTCTAATATATACAATATAACTGAAAGTGTAAATTTGTAACTGGATTCACTTTGAGGTTTATTTATTTTCACCATGCATTTATAATGAGAGCTGCAATGCAAGAAATTATCAATTAATTAAAATAGATAGATACACAAGTTAAATTTTAATTTATCATTAAGTTGTTTATATCGAGTATCCAAATATTTTTTTTCTCCACTCACTCCTTAATTCATTTTCATATACCCAATTATCACTTCATCTCAACACTGCAATGCAATGTCTTTCTCTTTCAATTACTAGTGAGTCCCATTTTTCAGCAAGCAAACCTAATGAAAGCTATAAACTGATCAGCCCAGGACAACCATATTCAGACTGGAAGAATAACTTGCCACACTATTAATTAGACTAATTAGTTCAAAAGGGAGGCACTAATTGGTGTAAGACGAAGTAATGACATTCTACTGATAACCCCAGGGAACAGACATGTGATTCCTAATCTGTATGGATGAGCACATGGTCAAATTTGCTTATTTAAAAAAAAAAACATCTTTAAAAAATCTTGCTTAATGGTACCTGTCGCTATGAAATGCAGCATGCATAATTCAGCTCCAGATGTAAAGTATAATTTCACCAGCAGTGTGCCATCAATAACACATCTGAAGCCACTTTGAAAATAGGTTTTGATATATACAGTATACTGTATACTGTAGTTTCATCACACTTCACTGACATACACATATATTATAGTTACTATGTAAGCTGCAGTCTTCAAAGAAAATGCTTTTTGACTAGGTAAGATAATGTAAGCCTTTAAAGAACAGAATCATGATTACAGGTGTCTTTTTTATTTTTTTCTTCAATAGCTATTCTGCTCTGTCATCGCCGGATTACTACATTATTTCTTTTTAGCTGCTTTTGCCTGGATGTGCATAGAAGGAATCCACCTTTACCTAATAGTAGTTGGTGTGATATACAATAAAGGCTTTCTCCACCGCAACTTTTACATATTTGGGTATGGTAGCCCAGCTGTAGTGGTTGGAATTTCTGCAACACTTGGCTACAAGTACTATGGAACAAATAAAGTGTAAGTCTGATATAATATTTACATAATAAACATTGAAGTCTATGTGATACAGCATTGCTAATATTATTTATATTTTACAGGTGTTGGCTAAGTACAGAGAACAACTTTATATGGAGCTTCATAGGACCAGCTTGTCTAATTATTCTGGTAAAATAAAAAAAATAATGTGTTTTACAATTATCTTTTACCTCTACCAAGTTCCTATGATGTTTAAATTACCTTTATTATTCAACAGCTGCCTCTCTTATGTAAAGAGGCCATATTCATATCTATTTAAAGAAGGAAAGTTCTGTTTTTAGTCATAAATCAAACTGAACTTGATAGATCAATCTGGCTTCTGCAATATAATTCATCACCTATTTCTTCCCATCATAAGAAAATAATAGTTTTTCTACTTTGTTTCTGCTCAAAGATTAAATATACATTCACTGTATATGTCTTCATGAAAACCACAGAACAAGAGTTTAACACTTTTAACATTTAAATTACAATAACATTTTTTTCCTTTAAAAAATCTTATCCTTCCAATCGATATTATAATAAAGATCACATTCTCTTTCCTTCTACAGTTACTGAACTGTATTTTTTAAATATTTTCTATAAGGTTAATCTGTTGGCTTTTGGAGTGATCATTTATAAAGTATATCGACACACAGCTGTGAAAAAACCTGAAGTCAGCCACTATGAAAATATAAGGTAAATTGCAAATGAGCTGGCTTGTGATCTACATCGAGTCATGATTTTTTATCATATTCTACTATCTGTACATAATATAAATATCAAATGTAATATGGCAACAGCCCTGCTATTTTTCAAGTATTTAAATGTTATTAACCTACTTTGCATACTGTACTTCTAACTTTAATTTAGATAGTAATTAATTTATATTCTGATCAATTAGGGTACATAACATATGTTATTTTACTTTATTTATTTTACCTGTACTGGAACAAAAAATATTTCTTATTGCAACCTGTTCTTTTATCATGCTGTATCATCACAAATATTCTTCAGTAAAATTCAAGATGTGGTTGCTAAGGGATTGGAGGGTATAAAGCAGGATTTGTTTCAAATTTGGTTATCTTCAAGAAGTTAAATGCTTTTTACAAGGCCATTCACTAAATAAACTAAATGTTGAGAAGTGCCACATTGTTTCAGTCAGGCCCAGCACAGAAACCTGCCATTCTGACATTGCACAGAGTACTAGAGTGATGCCAGGAAAATGCTAAAATACTATAAGACCAACATCTGATTTGTCTGAAGGAAACAAAGAGGAACTGTAAAATAGCATAGAAAAAAGGTGCTTTGTGGATTAATCCCTCAAATCTGGAGATACATGACTTTTGTTGATAACTATACTCAAAGATAATAAAAACATAATTAAGACTTTTATATGTAATAGTATTTGTTATATGTAAACTGTTAATGCAGATATAACAAGAGAATGATGACTATCTTGAATACAAAGTTAAAAAATTACTTTGAATGAACTGTGTCATACACTGTATTTAGTTTAATGTGAGCAGACTAGTACCTGCTTAAGACTAAAGTTCACAAAAATCTTAATTTCTACCACCATTGACATTTAATGACTATTTTCCTGCATAAGTTCTGTTAGTATTTAGGCGTAGTCGTATGCTATGCCTAAATAAAGTATGAAGTACAACTGTGTGTTTATCTTTTCAGGTCCTGTGCAAGAGGTGCCCTTGCTCTTCTTTTTGTACTTGGTGCAACCTGGACATTTGGTGTCCTCCATATCCTAAATGAATCTATTACTACAGCCTATCTCTTTACTATTGCCAATGCATTTCAAGGAATGTTCATTTTCATATTCCTGTGTGTTTTATCCAGAAAGGTAAGATGATTTTGTATTTAATACCCTGCTTTGCAAATAAAATTTGCAAAGATATGAGACCATATACAGTATACTATGTCTTGCAGAAGTATTTAGACCCTTGCACAAATTAGTTTTAAATTTTAGCTTGTAGTCTTGACACTCTGAAGTGACAATCAATATTTTAAATAAAAAACATACGTAAATAGATTATGTTAACAAAAACTTGATAGGTCATGATTTTATAAGTATTTCAGCCTTTGCTATAAATGTACAAAAATAGAAAAGAATGCTGACCAATTCAGAGTCAGTTAATCAAATTCTTTAAAAGAAACTGTGGCATTTTCAGTTAAATTTGGTGCAAAAATTAACTTCATAAGCCATACAATTAGTTGAGAATCCTTTATCTGTGTGCAATAGTGATTCTTAGGATTTCATAATAAAAATGTCTCCATTTGTCCACTTCCTTGGCCAGGTAGTAAATTTTAAGCAAAGACTCCACCTTGAACTCTCAGCAGCTGACTTTAAAGGCACACTGAAAAAAAACAGATTGGGAGAATATCTCCTATTGAAGTCAATCTCCTATTAATCTCCTATTAAAATATTGAAGTCAATGAATATCCCTGTGAGCAGAATCTACTCACTCATGAAGAAATGGAAGGTGTAATGTACCTCCCAAACAATGCCTTGATCAGGCTGTATCTCCACACTTGGCTGTCCAGCAAAAAGGAATTTGATTAGGGATGCCACTGTAAAGCCAACAGCAACTTTGAAAGAACTAAAGAATTCAACGTTTAGAGATGTGAGAAAATGTTCATAAATCAACAATTACTGTAGTCATTTTACAGATCTTTATAATATGAAGATTGTCAAGCTCATATCATTTCCTGCATTGAGTTTGCAATAAAGTTTGCAGCATAATCACAAATTCCTGTGATAATGTAAATAGGTGGCAAAAAAATTATGAGGTCATGCAACACAAAACTGGATCATTTTGGTAAAAATGAAAAGCATCTCTCAGTCAACACCATTCCTACAGTCAAACTTGGTGCTGGCAGCATTAAGTTATGGGAATGCTGTACCTCAGCAGGGATAGAGCAAAGTACAGACACCTGTTAAATGAAAACCTATTGTAGTCTGCTATAAATTTACCTTTTAGATCCACTATGATCCAAAGAACATGGTCAAAGTGAATATCATTGAGTGACATTGAGTCCTAATTGAAGACTATGAATCTATAAAAATATATAAAAACTGCTGATTGTAAGTGATCCCTAAACAACTTCAGAGGGCTTGAGCAAACTTACCAACAATAATGGACAAAAACTGTGCAAAACTGGTATGCAAAGTTTGTAGAGACGTATTCAAAAATACTTGTAGCTGCTAAAGGTGCTTCTGCCAAATATTTTTTTCACTGAGTCTGAATGCTTATGCAATCAGGTAGCATTGTACAGTAATAAACAAATGATGTCTTAATAAAATCCATGTCAAAGCATCACGGAGTGGTAAAACTAAAGCATTTAAATTTGAATTATATTAATGGAAAAGAGTTGTAAAATATTTGTTTTTTCAGCAGTTAAAGTTTGAATTTTCCCACTTGACGATATTCTCATAAAGACATATGAAGGTTTTCTTTTAAAGTTAGTAAATTGTAGAGAAAAAAGGTACTGTACATGCAACATTTTTAATTAAAGGAAGAAGACTATGCTGGCAGAGTATATAAAAGCTGTCTTCCCTGAAGTGCAGCTTTTTTAAAAAAATATTTTAAAAATATTGAATACCTTACTGCAGTGGTTCTCAAACTGTGGTACAAGTACCGGCAGTGGTACATGGAGTGCCGCCAGGTGGTACGCCAAATGACCCTGGAACTGTGTCATGTGTGCTGAAAAATCGGGACGGGTTTTCATATTTTGTATTTTAATACGTGTCGAATATGCAGCCATGTACTATGATACAGTGCGCGCTAATACTTCAGTGGACACAAGAGATACTCTGTAATTCTATACCACTCTATAGGAATGCGGGCTACGGACGCAAGTGACCAATTGTATTTAAAAAAAGCTACTGTATCTCCAGCAAATAGGGAGAAAGGAGAATGTGTGTGATTTTGGAACAATGCCAACGTTGTAAACACAGGAATGCATAGAAATATTTGCTACGAATGCAGGTAATCTTGTGAGCACACGAAAGCGTGATAACAGAAAAATATTTAAGAACTGTTCTAATTTGAGAAAAATACACCGAGCGTCTCTATGTTTCGCTCCCATGCGCATGAAATAAAAACTTTAAATAAATACGGAAATAAAAACAGAAACGCGGAAAAATGCAAGCTTGCGGATTGCTAAAGCAGGTAAGCTACACTATTTTTGAAGAACCTTATTTACCGTTGGCAAAAGAGCTGACGTATTATGTGTAGAGAAAAAGCTGCTAAACAGCTCGACCTGCTGCCCCCCTCCCCATGAAAGACACAGTCATTCATAGAATTATTGAAATGAAGGATTATATCAAAAGTACACTGATAGAGCGCGTTAAGATGAGCAGATGTTTTTCACTGCAATTAGATGAGTCTGTAATCGATTTGGCCAATTTGCTCGTTTACGTTAGATACGAGTTTGAGGGCATGTCCCATGAAGACTTTCTGTTCTGTAAACCGCTACCAATGGGAACTACAGGAGAGCACATATTTCAGCTTCTGAATGAATTTATCGAAGAGAATGGCCTCGACTGGATAAAATGCGTCTGAGTTTGTACAGACAAAGCCGACATAATGGTGTAGTTGCATGAATTAGATAGGTTGCTCCAGAAATGAATGTACGCATTACAACATCCACCGCGAGACCTTTGCCGTCAAGAAAATGCCTGACGATTTAATATCTGTTAGACTCTGTTGTGAATTGTATCAAGGCTCGAAAAATTAATTCACATCTGCTTTGCTCAACTAAACAGGCTCACCCCTCTCACTGAAATGGTGCTTTTTTATTAGTTGTTGTTAATGTTTTTTTTCTGTAAAACACTTTGAGAAGCCACCTTTTAGGCACTATATCAAATAAAGTTTATGATTATAATATTTATTATATGTATGTGTGAGTGTGTGTGCACGCGCGCTCATGTTGGTCATTGAGAATTTCTGGGGTTCCTATGAGATGATGACTTGTAGGTGGTACTTGGATGCTTTGGTTGGATTAGGGGGTGGTACTTGGTCCAAAAAGTTTGAGAACCACTGCCTTACTATATGTGTTTGACCGCAATTCCAGTAACACAAAAGGCTAATTGATATCTCAGTGTCTTATGAAGTACCAGTAACTACAGGAAATTACTGAAATAAAAAGAAATAAAGCTACTGTATGTCTAAATGTTAAATGCAAAGATTCAGAGATATTACATACAGATCCAGCCATTCAGAATGCATGCCAGATACTGCAGTGGCTTATGGTGCTTGTGACGTAACACACCCCATTTTTTGTGTTTTTGAGAGACTTCAGAATGCTTTGACTGATGCATAAAAAAATGTAGCATAATGCCTTCTCATGTTATGAACTTGCTTACACCTGGGATTTGTTTAATTAAAATAAAGTTTCTAAAAATTCAACCAGGTACTAGATGTTTTTTTAAAAAAAGTTGTGAAATTATTACACAAATCACAATCTTTAAAATGCCTGTTGTCATGGATGTTTGAAAACGGGATGAACCGTGGAGAGCAGGAGAGCGGAAAAAGACCCATATGCGTAGCAGCAGAATGGGAAAAAGGCCCAGGCTCGTTAGTGCAGAGAGTTCAGGAATGCCGTATAGAAACCTGTGCCCTCAGGCAGCGGACGTGGGGCGACCTGGTGCTAGGCGGGTCTCAGGACATCTGAACGTCAATGCTGAGCGAGGGCAGAGTGCAAGACCCGGAAATATATAGCTCAAGGGAAAGAGAGGGACCGGAAGGACAGCAGACAGGAAACTAGGGCCAAGACCGAGAAGGAGTGCCCTCTGGCTGCAGAGGGCGTGACACCTGTGGTTTGAAGGCTCTGTGTCATTTGTTCACAACGTTATTGACATCTGAAAGATCGTGTCTCATAAATAGGTGTTTTAATAGGAAAGCAAGGGTTATGAAAACTAGAGAAAACAAATGACCCTGAACAAAATACAAGAAGTTTGAAATTATTATTTATAATTATTATAAATTAATAATGATAAGATTATTATAATAGTTCAGTTTCGGTGGTCAATTTAATACCACTTTGTTATTCTTGATTATCATTATAACACATATAAGATAAGATCACTTTATTAACCATATACAATTTCTTGCATTAGGAATTTTTCCTTTCGCAGACCCCAGCTTACTCTCCATGAGACACACAGGCACATAGACGGGAAGAGAAGCTTGAGGTCAGAGCGCAGAGTCAGCCATTTATACGGCGTCCCTGGAGCAGCTGGGGTTAAGGGCCTTGCTCAGTGGTCCAGTGGAGTAGGATTCTTCTGCTGGCCACAGGATTTGAACTGTCAACCTTCCAGCCACAGGCGCAGATGCTTAGCCACAGTGTCACCGCTCTGCTCGCGCCACTCTGCACATGATTTCGTGTTAAGGCATGTTATAAAGGCTTGTCTTAAATTGCTCCAGTGGGATGTAGTATTATGAATTAAATTAACAATAATAAGAAGAAGAATTGCTTATACTTTTATAGCTTTTTTCTGGACACTGTACTCAAAGCGCTTTTACAGGTAATGGGGACTCCCCTCCACCACCACCAATGTGCAGCATCCACCTGGATGATGCGACGGCAGACATAGTGCGCCAGAATGCTCACCATACATCAGCTATCAGTGGGGAGGAGAGGAGAGTAATGAAGCAAATTCATAGATGGGGGTTATTAGGAGGCCATGATTGGTAAAGGCCAATGGGAAGTTTGGCCAGGATGCTGGGGTTACTACTCTACTCTTTTTCGAGAAAAAAGTTTACAGTACAGTGTCCCCGTCACTTTACTGGGGTATAAGGACCCACATGGACCACAGGGTGAGCGCCCCCTGCTGGTCCCTCTAACACCTCTTCCAGCAGCAACCCTGGTTTTTCCAGGTCTCTCATCCAGGTACTGACCAGGCTCACACCTGCTTAGCTTCAGTGGGTTGCCAGTTGTGAGTTGCAGAGTGATATGGCTGTTAAAACTGTTTTTTACTCCCACTGTAAACAGTAGTTACATTTACTCATTCATATTTTTAATTTATTAATATAATTTAACATTGAACACATCATGATATATAAAAATAATAAAATGCAAATATAGTGTACGTAATATTTAGTCTTTTTTTTTTTAAAGCAGTCTTTGTTAAAAGAAAAACTTCTGTTCTGACCGGGAATCAAAACATGATTTGATAGGCACACACCAAATCCTTTGCACCAAAACCTCTCTTAGAAACATTGCAGAAACAGACAAGTTAAAATGTTTCCAAATTAATTACAAGTGAGTGAAATATGGTAATACTTTGAGCTATATACTGTAAATATTTTATTTTTAGATCCTTAAATTAATATCATTATTAATTTCTTTAAATACGCGATTCCATATTACATTTCCTATTAAGTGGATTCTAAAAAGTACATTTTTTTCATAGAAAAGGTTAAAACATTGTAGCTTTTTATAAAGTAAATAAACTTAATTTAGTCAAAACAAGAATGTCTAAACTTTTCCAAAATAACCACAGTTAAAGACTTTGATGCATAAAATGTTTATGAAGAAATTTGAATGCTGTTGCGATTTTTAAAAAATGTTAGCTTTCACTACCAGCCATATGCAGTATGTATAATATATTTATATACCTAAATTAATATAGTTAGTGACGTTCAGAGATGTTATGCTCCTGTTATTTTTATGTTCATCTAGCAAAATTTCCCTTTAGTTGTAAAATTCCATATTAATCCGATTTAAAAATGTACAGTACAGAGATTAAATAAAGCGATTGTTTCACTAACATCTAATGCACCACAAGTGCCACCTGTCGATCATCTTTGGGCATTCTGAATGGCTACATCTGTGTGTTTTAAAATGCTTGATAATGGTAACTGTGAACTAAATACAAAGAAGTATCATTTATAATGTTAAAAATTGTTTAGAAATTAAATAAACAACTGTGAGAAGGGTGTGTGAGAAGGGTGGGGATGTATGTCTCCCTATGCTGTGAAAAGTTTTACTCCCATGATATCCCCGATTCTAATCCCAGATCATAAAATGCATGATTTGGCAAGACTGAGAAAGTGAGAAAATTCAAAATGAAAACTAAAAAAGGAAAAAATAATGATGTGCGTCTTTTGACAAACATCATTTGAACTGGAAAGTTGTCCCTTAATGTCCAGTAATAGTGAATTTCAGTTAATTTGAAAAAATCATTTTAAATGTTTAGATTCTAGAAGAAGCTAAATTAAAGACCTCATCCAGTTCTGCATCTCAATGAGTAAAGAGTTATTGAAATAAGGTTGTTATTTAGCCTGACAATGTAGTCATGGAAGTTTCTGCATATTTGCAGAAATTGATTTAATTGATTATTTTATAAAAGTAATTACTTATTTTCATCTCATTTGCACAATTAATTAAACATCTTTTTTTTTTATTTCTCACCAGATCCAAGAGGAGTACTACAGATTGTTTAAGAACGTGCCATGTTGTTTTGATTGTCTCAGATAAACAGGCAAAAAAGAAGGGATAAGGAAAATGGACTTCAATGCATACTTTCATTGATGATAATCAGAAATAATCAGTTGTCTCAAAAGCACTCTGAAACAGATACAGTGTTGCATACATTACGTGTAAACACAGCATCTGACTGATCATTTTAAAACAATATCCAAGGGAAACATACTGGAAATATATTTTTTTTACTGTAGGCCTATAAAGCTGATACCAGCATTATCATGTAGCAGCAATTAAGTCATGTTCATCTTTGAATTATTTTCATATACTTTAATTTAAATGAACAATTCCTCTTAAGAATGATGTAACTGAATGTATACAGATGACTTTATACCAATTTAACCACAAAGGATTTCAGTATTATTTGTGTAAATATTGTTTGCAATAATGCTGTTCAGTACAGTACACAACATTTTTCTATATGTTTTTTTTTCCTATTGCAACACAACATTTTATATTTAAGTAAAATAACAGGTAAGCAGAATTAGGCTTTACTACACAAGGACTCTCATACATCTTGCTGTTAAAAGTCTCTTGTATCTCCACTACAACGTTTCTTACATGAATGGCTTTAAATTTGTATCCAGTCACTCAGGACCTTGCAAATTAACTGTACATTAACTAAATTCAACATTACCTCCAACAAATAGAAGCTTCATCACAAGCTTTGAATGGAAACTAGTCATTAGGGCTTTCCCCAAGCTAAAATTGAACACAATAAAATTCACTAGTAATTGGGGACACTGGATTTCAGACTTCAGAAAAAAAGTCATTTATGATGACCTGTGTCTGCAGAATAGAACAGATGTACATATATATTTATATATTCCTTTCACTGCTATGTCATTTTTTAATTATTTACTTTTTTCTTAGCCAGTTTAGTTAATTACAAAATATGTTTCAGATCTTTTTTTAGTCATCAAGTCTCAAAATCTAAATGACAAGCAAACACATGAAGAATTAGCAAGAATACTTACATGAAAAAATACACATTTTGTTTCTGAGGATTTTAATCCTAATAATACTTTGGTTATTGGAGTGTAGGTGCAAATGTAAGATTACTTTACTCATTTTAGGTTGAACTAAATAATACAAAAAATGCAATCTGTAAATCAGGTAATGAACATCTTATTGGAACTTATATGTACTGTAAATCTTTTTTAATCATTTCATCAAGTGAATTCTGGTTCTACAGTGTAGTTAAAATTAACAGAGAGGTGTATCATGGTGTTAAATCAGCTTAACTACACCAGAGCAAAATTATGTCTTCCTGAAATCAGTATACATTACAAACTTTTAAATTCAATTATATTAAAACACAGATATGCAATCAAAAAACACTTAACATTTAACAGGAACTGTTAAAAATGAAGCAAAATCATTAAATGCTTCCTGTATATTTTGCAATGTATGGATATTTTGAACTTCTTTTTGTAATATTGTGTAAATAAGAAAAAAGACTGCATGTATTGATATTTTTAAAAAACAAATACAGACATGAAATTAGTCCTTTTACAAATTTGTAACTGATCATGAATTCACAATATCAAGAGAATTAGGAAGAGGAAAATTAAGCTAAATAGAAGTTAGATCTTTATTATACTATTACAATGAAATTGGAATAATTAAAACACAACTACCAGAATGGCAGTGGCTAAAAGAGCTTTAGCAAATACAGAGACAGGAAAGATGCTAAAGTGTGCCACTGCAAATTGAAAAGAGCATTCATGTACAGGAACCTTAATCTCTTAATCGATATGGGTCACACATTAAAAACATTCAAAAGACATGTCTTATATGGTCAAATCAGAGATTTGTGTGTAAAGACAAAAGCAGTTATCGGGGACTTTTATTTTCCTCTTTTTTTTCTTATTTTCCTATGTTCGTAATTCTCATTCCTTCTGACAAGGTATTCAAAAGCTGAACTGAAGTGATAGGAATGGCTTATAACTCTTTCCTTGCTCAGTATTTTTCAGAACACTTACTAGTGGGAATCGATGCATTGTTGTCTTCCTTTCAAATCAGGATTAGGAGAAGAATAGAGAGAGGAAAACAAATTCATATATTTATTAGGAGGTGTAGGAAACAATAGCCAAAATGCTTTTACAAACCAATTAAAAAAGATATATGTATATATTTTTTAAATTAAATGAAAAAAAGGTTAGGATCCAATTAAAGAAATGGAGAATGTAAACAAGTACAGGTGAAAAATTTTAAATTTTAATGTTGAACAGGATTACAGCATAAAAGAACACAGCAATAATAACAAATGTTATTTTTTAAACGTTACAATAGAAAAAGAGCAGTGAATGATTAAATATAGTGTCCCAGATAAAAATGGAAAACTTTTAGATGATGAAATGGAAATGGCGAAGATATTAAAATACTGTATTTTACTCAGGTGTTTACCAAGGAAAAAACTACTAAACTTCTGTAGACTAAACTACAGAATTAAATGGTATTACCTTAGAAAAATGAGGCAGAAGGACTGTAGGCATTAGTAGCACTTATAATAAATCCTTCAAACTTTGAGCGTATTCCACCAATAATGCTTCCACCAATAAAGCTTGCAGATTGCTAAAGCAAGTAAGCCCCACACTATATGTGAAGAACTTTGTTTACCATTGACAAAAGAGCTGACACGTATTATGTGTGGAGAAAAAAGCTGCTAAACAGCTCGACCTGCTGCCCTCTTCAAAAGATACAGTCACTCATAGAATTATTGATATGGCAGATGATGTCAAAAGTACGCTGATAGAGCGTGTTAAGATGAGCAGATGCTGTTCACTGCAATTAGATGACTCTGTAGATGCCTTTGATTTGGCCAATGTGCTCATTTACATTAGATACAAGTTTGAGGGTCCCATGAGAACTTTCTGTTCTGTAAGCCACTACCAACAAGAACTACAGGACAGCACATATTTCAGCTTCTGAATGAATTTATCAAAGAGAATGGCATCGACAGGATAAAATGCGTCGGAGTTTGTACAGACGGTGCTAGAGCGATGACAAGCCGACGCAGCGGTGTAGTTGCAATAATTAGAAGTTGCTCCTGATATGAAGTGGACGCACTGCAGGCAAAGCCTTGGCCATCAAGAAAATGCCTGAGGATATCATATCTGTTAGACTCTGTTGTGAATTGTATCAAGGCTCGACCAATGAATTCAATGAATTGATCAGAGGTGGTACTTGGTCCAGAACGTTTGAGAACCACTTTACAACATGCTTCCTAATGACAGGCATAAACTGAAATTAAATTGGCATAGGTAATTGTTTGGCAAGTGGCAAGCCTTTTTTTTTCACAGGAAAGCTCGCAATCTGTGCCACTGATAACAATTTTTCCCACATAAGAGTCAAACATTTATGATAAAATGGTTGTAAGAAAACCATCTCAGGGACGCCAAATATGTAATCATAGCCATAGGAAAAGTAAATGTAGTGGCTCTCTGAAGGCACCAGTTCTGTAGGGTTTGGGCATTTACTGAGACAATTATTAATTGTAGCAGTAAATCACAAAGTTGATTCTTTTGATGGC